TACAAATAGATAAACAAAAAACAAACCCGATAACAACGACAAAATATCCCTTCAGGAAATTTCATGTCATGATATCAGAACATCAGGCTTTCAGACCTAAAAACGGGATGCCAATTTCCCGACAAGATTCCAATTTTTACTCTCGTGACTGACAGCAAATCTCACTTTTTATTTATATGATAGGAATGTCATTGAAATCAATTTGTAAAGAGGAAATTTTCTGTCAAACCTTTCTCTTTCTATGTACGTTCATGTTATTTTCTTTTTTATATGCAAATGGATAGCTAAATAAAGATTGATTTTTTTTCAGACGAAACCCTGATTTTGATCACAATGAAGCCATGATTGTGCAATTATTCAAAGAATGAAACATGGATAAAGAAATCATGAATGGCATAGATTCTCTCTCTCTCTCTCTCTCTCGCTCTCTCTTTTTCTGGATAAAAAGAAAGATAAAGTAGATAAATAGATATATACGACATCACACACACACCACACACACACACACACACACACACACACACACACACACACAACACACACACACACACACACACACCACACACACACACACACACACACACACACACACACACACACACACACACACACACACACATACACTAACACATAAAACACGCACATACATGTACACAAACAAACATACTCATACTCGCCCATAATCACGATATCGAATACATAAAAGACAAGTAAAAAAAAAAAGACTAGCGATGAAGGTATACCGAAAAGAAGAAAAAGAGGCAAAGCGAAGGAGAGAAAATTAGATAAGGAAGATCGAGAGCGAGAACGGAAGATGACGAAAGGAAGAGCGAGAACGGGAGAGGAAGAAGAGAGCGAGAACGGGAGAGAGGAGAGCAGAACGGGAGAGGAAGAACGAGAGCGAGAACGGGAGAGGAAGAACGATAGGAAGAACGAGCGAGAACGGAGGAAGAACGAGAGCGAGAACGAGAGGAAGAACAAGAGCGAGAACGGGAAGAAGAACAAGAGCGACGGGAGATGACGAAGGCAGAGAGAACGGGAGCGGAAGACGAGAGCGAGAACGGGAGAGAAGAACGAGAGCGAAACGGGAGACGAGAGCGAGAACGGACGACCCGGGAGAGGACGAAGGCGGGAGAGGAAGAACGAGAGCGAGAACGGGAGAGAAGAACGAGGCGAGAACGGAGAGGACGAAGGAGAGCGAGAACGGGAGAGGGCGAAGGGGAGCAAGAACGGGAGGGACGAAGGGAGAAACGAGAACGAGAACGAGAGAGAGAGAGAGAGACGGAGCGACCCCCCCGCCCCCCCTCCGCACGCAGCCTCCTCCCGGGCCGAAAAGAACGTGGGAACGGAGATATGAACGCTCGAGCGGCTCACAAAAGATTCACATTCGACAAAATCTAAACTTTAAAGCCACTCGCAGCAAGTTGAGACGCTGAGAATGTCCCGCTGGCCGCCTTTCCATCGACGACCCATTGTCAACGCAATATTTGCAATTACCCTGGCGCTGGCAGGAGGGGTGGGGGTGGAGTCGGTGAGGGTAGGAGGGGAGGAGGGGGTAGGGGAGAGGAGCAGGGGGTAGGAGAGGGAGCAGGGGGGTAGGAGAGGAAGGAGGGGGTAGAGAGGGAGGAGTGGGTAGAGAGGAAGGAGGGGGGGGTAGGGAGGGATGAGGGGGGTAGGAGAGGGAGGAGGGGGTAGGAGAGGGAGGAAGGGGTAGGCAGGAGGAGAGGCAGGGGCTAGGAGAGGGGAGGAGGGGTAGGAGAGGGAGCAGGAGTAGGAGACGAGATGGGAGATAGTTGATGTGGGGGGGGGGGGGAAGGTTGAAGGAGGGGGGGGAAGGAGAGGGCTTTAAGGGTAGTAGAGTGTATGAGAGGTAGTTGAGGGGAGGGAGGGGAAGGGTTGAAGGAGAGGGTGGGGGGATGGTAGGGGTTGAGGCAGTGAGTAGAAGGTTATAGGGAAGGGGTAAGGGAGGAATGGGTGCAGGAGGGGCTTTTAAGGGTAGGAAGTTGGGGGGGGGGGGGCTAGCAGGTAGGGGTGGAGGCAGAGAGGGTAGGTACAGGGACTGGGGGGGGGGGCAGGAGTAATGTGAAGGCAGGGGGTGAGGGAGGGGTGGGGTCCGTGAATAGAAATGGCTGGGGGGGGGGGGGGGAGTTGTACCGCAGTATTAAGCGCATTAAGATAAGACTATCATTATTCTATTCTTTCGATATAATTATCTGAATATTATGGATTTGTTGTAATCATAATGTTACCTATTACCGCTATTTACTCCATCAGTATCATTATTACAATTATCATTATTATTATCATTATGTTATTATTATTATTATTATTAATTACTATTATTTATTTTATTATTGTTATTATTATTATCATTATTATTATTATTATTATTATTATTATTATTATTACTATTATCATTATCATAATTACTATTATCATTTCAGTACAATTATTTTTCATTGTTACTGTTATTGTTGTTGTTATTATGAATATTACGAACATTATCATAATCATAATCATTTTCTTAGTCACTGTTATTATTATTATTATTATTATTATTATTATTATTATCATTATGCCTCATTATCATCTTTTTAATCATTGTTATTATTATCATTATTATTATTATTTTCCTTATTATTATCATTATTATTATTATTATCATTATTATTATTATTGTTATTATTATTTATTATTATTATTATTATTATTTATTATTATTATCATTATTATTGCAATTATATTTATTATTAGTAGTAGTAGTAGCAGTCGTAGTAGTATCATTATCATTAATAGTAGTTGTAGTACTGCTATTATTATTAATGTTGTAACTCTTATTATTATTATTATGATAATTGTTATTATTATTATTATTATTACCATTATTATTATTATTATTATCATTAGTATTAGCATCGTTATTTTTATTATTATCATCATCATCGTTATTATTATCATCATTATTATTATCATTACTGTTGTTGATGATGGTATTTTAATACTATCATTATCATTATAAATAATATGATCATTGCTGCTCTTCATATCATTCTTTTTAATATCATCATAATTATCGTTTTTCTTTTAATCATAATCCATGGTATTAATAATATTAGCCTCGTTATAGTTTTATTATGATCATTATTATACATCTTTGTTATTTTGTTATTATAATTCTAAAAGTAAGGATGATAGTATTACTACTGGTAGTAAAAGCAATTGCAACTTTATTGATAGTAGTAATGGTATTAACGAAATAAATCATAATTTACATATTTTCGTCATAACCATTATTACTGTTGTTTGTAATTTCATTTTGTTTATTACAATAACTTCTCTCACTATTGTTGTCAAAATCAGTCAAAATTACAGTGGTATTGGCAGCGGCCTTGATCTTATTGGTACTTCTGTTTTCATTGCAATAGCGATTTGTCATGCATATATGAATGCCTTTGCATTTATTCATGTTTGCAAAATGAATATTCCATTTCTGCACTACCTTGTTTACGACCAAGAGTTTTGTACTTTACAGGTGCAAATCAAAAGAGAGAGAGAGGGAGAGGGAAAGGGAAAGGGAAAGGGAAAGGGAAAGGGAAAGGGAAAGGGAAAGGGAAAGGGAAAGGGAAAGGGAAAGGGAGAGAGAGAGAGAGAGAGAGAGAGAGAGAGAGAGAGAGAGAGAGAGAGAGAGAGAGAGAGAGAGAGAGAGAGAGAGAGAGAGAGAAGAGAGAGAGAGAGAGAGAAGGGAAAAAAAACAAAGAAATAATAAAACGGGGAAATGATGAAATCAAAGGAAAATGATTACACAGAAGTTAAGGCAACACCAATCATTATACTGATCATGATAAAATTCATAAACATTTCATCTGCAGAAGAAAATGAAGGTGTCGATGATTACAGTGGTTATCATAATGCTGAAAATTACAATGGTATCTTTATCATCTTTACTGATAACAGTAATGATAAAAATGACAATGACGAATTAGAATCAAAGAAGAAATAAAATAAAACTAAAGATTCGGATAAAAAAGAAATGAAAACTCCACCTTCCGCAGACGGCACCAGGCCTGCCTCAACCGCCAGCAAAAGAGGAGGAAGCCGGGGTCTTGCCAAAGATCAAAGCCACACAAGGCAAAGGTTAAAACGGGGTTGAGATAGCAAGGTTTAAGATTTAGAAATTCAAGGGCGTGTCTGTATGCCTTGACAGCTCGGAGGAAAAAGAAAGTGTAAGCTGTGCTAGGTCAAGGCGAAACGAGGTCAGGACAAGATAGGGTCGAGACAAAACGAAGAATTGTGGAAGGAAATATTTGTCTTTGGTTTTCTTGGGTTTTCTTTGGGTTTCGATTTGCTGAGGTCGAGGAGAACGATGAGGTTGCGTCATCAGTTGTCTCGAGGCGCTGGGAGCCACAGGAATTCGGAATGTCCTGATGTCTTTATTTATTTATCTTTATTCCTTTATCTATTTATGTGTTAACTAACTGATTTATCTATTCATTCGTTCGTTGTTTATCTATTAATATATTTATTTTCAATAAGGGTATTCTGTTCAACGAGGTGTCAGAACTTTTACTATTCATTTATATTATTGAAATGTTATCATTGATGTTATTATTGGTATTGATATCATCATCCCCATGAACACCATCATTATTAACGTTGGTTAGTTATGGGGCGGGAGCGCCATAAATACTTTATACCTAGATGTGTTTTTTTAATGTTTATATGCATGATTCCTGTAGGTATACTTTCCTGTTGATGCTGCAGTGCAAATCATAGATATCTTGCCTCCGAAAACAAAAATAAAAACAGAAAGATAAGATAAAAAAAATGAATATCAAAACCCACAGAACTCAAGCCTTTTTAACATTTTGCACACACATACCCACAACACACACTGGACCACACACAAGCATACACAAAACACACACACAAACCTCGAGAACAACCACTGACCCACATACGACCCATACTAAACCTTCCTTCCCTCCCTCTCTCTCCCCCAG